GAGCTTCTCATCGAGGACATACTCTTTATCCTCATAGCGAGCAATGGTGCGAATGTATCTTATCCATTCACTAAAGTTCGTTCCATCGAAGGTGACCTTTTGGCAAAGGCTCATCAACGTGAAAGAACTAGCAGCAGCGTTGTTTGCGTTCGACATCTTCAATTAGAAAAGGACAAAGATAGATTAGAATAATAATCCCTAATTATCACCCAATAAGAAAATTAGGGCTAGGATCCAACAATAACATTTACATACTAGAGAAGGGATGCCGTAATCTAACATGCAAATAAATTGAAGGTAAGTGAATGACGATTCACTAATTCTCCATTACAAAACTTAAACTATTAGTCCTAAGTGTTTTTGAGAATTCCTAGGTTCGGATGAGATTCATTGAAACTATTCAATGGCATGTTTAAATCTCGATATGCCCCTCTCGTTTGTGACTGGGATGCCGAGGATCACAAAGCGGGTGTGAATTACCATGCAAACTCACATGGTGCCTTCATTGTAACGATCACCTATTCGATGTGCCGGTAAACCACACACGCTCCATCGAACTATGATAAACAATGAATCACCCTTTGCCACCTTCGCTTAGAACCAATTAGTGTGCCGGTAAACCACACACGCTCCACTAACTTCTTAGCAAGGTGCAAAGTGTAATTTCATGGGATTGCATCAATTCACTTTTCCTAAAGTAACTAAGATTAGGAAATTTTTAAAACCTGTAGTTACTTTGTATTTCTTATTATACTTTTAATGCGAAGATGAGGTTTCCCTATCCTACCCGTTCGGCTAACGACCCTCCACCAATCAAGCAAGCGGTGGGTGTGAGTGTACACCCATTAAGCGCCATTTTATAGGCCGCAACCTTATACCCACCTTATAGACCGACTTCGTGAATGGGGCCTACTAACGGTAAGACTAGCATTTAGTTATACATATATTATTCTAGTAATATCATATTAGTATAGGGTTGTATTTTAAAACTTTTTAAAATCTAGGGTTTGAAATTTAAGTTGTCTAAATTAAAACTTTTAATCACAAATATAAATTTCAAAACTTTAGGGTAGGTTTTAAACATTTAAAACATGAAGGATCAAATAACAAATAATTCCAATTAACAATTAATATCCTAATTATCTTTATTTGATTTATCCAAGATTTCTTTTAAGATAATTATCAAAATAATTAATCATTTATCACATAAGGAAATTAAATATTTTATTAGATGATAAATATCTTTAATTAGATCAAGATTATAGTCATATATATAAAAAAAATGGATTAGGGTTGATCTAATATGATTAAGGTAAGTTTCCATAAGATAAACATGAAAAAATCCCGGTTTTGCCTAATCCAGACGCCCGGACTCGCCGAGTACAGGCCTACTCGCCGAGTCCACTTTAGAACTCGCCGAGTCCATGACTCATAAACCCAAAAATCGAATTTTGCAGGTTTTTTTTCAGTTAATCAAGCAACAATTTAAAGAAAACTAAGCTAGGCTCTGATACCACTGATGGGTTTTAGCCATAAGAACTTTCCTATGTGCGCATGCAAAACCCTAATGCTTGGATATAGGCTTTCTAATTAAACATGCTTTGAATCCAAGACTTCTAATGGCTAATTAGATTAAATAACAACATTGAAACAGATCTAGAATCATACCTTTGAGTTCCTTGTTGATCTTGTTGTCTTGGAGCTTCTAGAGTCACAAATGTCACTTACAAACACCAATAGCAAGCAAGATGATTTAGGAGAGAGGAGAGGGGAGGAATTCGGCCAGAGTATCTCTACTTTTGATGGTGTGTTGAATTCCCTCACCCCTAGGGTCTATTTATACTTGTAGACTCCTTAAGGGTTACAACCTAAACCCTAATTAGATAATCTTCTCTTAAGGCTATCCAAATCCATTCCATAGATAAGCCTTTGGACGATTTTAGCTATCCTATATCTCATACAATTCGTCCAAAGCATATCCCAATTGATTTATAGTCTAAAGTTTAACTATCAAACAATTGACAGTTTATACCCCTTTATTTAATTAATCTCTTTAAGTCACCAAATTAATTCCAATTAATCTATGACTTATATTAATCAAATAACCATATATTATTCCATATAATATTTACTCTCTTTTAACAAATCATCCATCAAGTTGCTATGGTGAAGGCAACCCAAAAGGACCATGCACAACCGGATCAAATACTTGCCTAATATAGTTGCAGCCTTAGACACTATTCCAATAATATCATCTTGCGAGATTCATATAAGACTAGACTCCCGACTTCAACAAACTTTGGTGTCCAAATTCGGTTCATGGAATATCATGTCCCGTCTAACTTGACGTCGAACTGTTTGTCCATACCTTACAGGTTTTCTTCCATGATATTCTCAGGTTTGAGTGCTTCCAGCTGATCATCTCAAATTTGGGTGGTCAGATTGGAATGGGTGGTTAGGGTTAGAGCATCCACATGAAAACGCTTTGCTCTCTCTTTCCTACTAAAAGCATCTGCTATGACATTTTCTTTACGAGGATGATAGCGAAATTCACATTTGTAATCATTTAGCATTTATACACGCTTTCATTGTCTCATGTTGAGCTCCTTCTGGTCGAAGATGTGTTGAAAGCTTTTGTGGTCAGTGAACACGACACACATCATTCCATAGATGTAGTGTCTCCAAATCATTAAGGAAAACACTACAACTCTCAATTCTAAGTCATACGTAGTGTAGTTGGTCTTGTTTGGCTTATGTTGTCTGGATGTGTATGCAATGACTTTACTCTTTTGCATTAGTACGCATCCGAACCTTTGATAAGAGGCGTCTCAAAATACTACAAAGTCTTTCGTTCTCTCTGGAAAATACAAATTTGGTGCAATGCACAACAATCATTTCAATTTATGGAAGGCAATCTCTTGTCTGTCTCCCTAGTGAAACTATTTGACTTTCTAGGTTAGTTCAATGAGAGGTTTGGCTATCTTGGAGAAGTTCTTGATGAATCTTTGCTAATAGTCTGAAAGCCCTAAGAAATGGCGTACTTTGGTTAGTGTTGCCGTCAAGTTCTTATAGCATAACTAGAAACTCATAGTGACTGGACCGAGTGCTAATTGTTGTCTTTGGAATACCTGCTTCTTTCACTATAAGTCAATGGTAGCTGGATCTCATATCGATCTTTGAGTAGTAATAGGATCCTTGTTGTTGGTCGAACAGGTCATCGATAATCGAGAGTGGATATCGTTTATTGATGGCATGCTTGTTCAACTCTTGATAATCAATGCATATCCAGAATGATCCATCCTTCTATTTGACAACAATACTGGAGCTCCTTATAGAGATAAGCTTGCCCGGATAAAGCGTTTGTCAAGAAGTTCTTGAAGTTGACTGGATAGTTCTTGTATTTCCATTGGAGCCAGATGATAAGGAGATCTTGTCACTGGTGTTGTACCTAGGATTAGGTCGATTTAGAATTCGACCAGTCTGAATGGAGGTACTATAGGTGTATCCTCTAGCAATATGTCCGGGTAGTAGCACGCTTGCAGTATTCCTTTAATTTCCTTACCCTTGTCTTGCATATCCACCACATGGGCCAAGAAAGCGAAGAGTCTCTTCTATAAACACTTTCTCGCCTTCATGCAAGAGATGATTCTTAGATTCTTTCCTGATTTGTCTCTATAAATCACAAGGGCTTTTTCATTAGGGAGGGGTAGTCAAATGGATATTTTGTAACATAAGATCTTTGCTAGATGAAGTGATAAACAATCAATTTTGATGATCACATCGAAACTTCCAATGGTTGTAGGTGTTAGATTGACGTGAAAGACGTGCTTATTTATGGTGAGAGGCAATTAGTGAATATTCTAATGTGGTTTCTAACTGGTTTTTTTCTACTCCCATCATGTAAGCTTCATTAAGTTTGCATGATTTATGGTTAATCATGCTACTAAAATTATGGGAAATAAAGCTTCTATCAACACCGGTATCAAATAATATGAAAGCATAAATATTGTTGGTAGGAAACGTACTAGTAACCATAGTTGGTTCCTGGTGAGCATTCTCAAGCACCTATCACTGATGCGCTTCCTGGGCCAACCTGATTCTCTAGTTTCGGGTAGGCCTTCTTATAATTCCTTGGTTGATTGCACTCGAAGCAACTTCAGCTTCCACCTACTGCAATGGTTGAGCTTGTATTATTTTGGGTCTTTCTACAAAACTTAGAGGTGTAACCTCCCGAGTTATAGATGTTGTAGATCATGAAGTTTTCGACATGGTGAAAATTGCACTTGGTAGAATGAGGTAAAGTCCTAAGGTAAGGCTCTGATGGATGGGGTGAGTGTTTGTGATTGCGAGCTTCATAACCACAATTTTCTTGATTGGGTTTGTGGCGCTTGAAGTTTCCCTTTGACTTGCCATGAAACTTCCTTTTTGTACTCCTAACTTGGTTCTTTTTGGTTTGTTAGGTTATGGTACCCTAAAGGGTATTTTTGTATTTCAGGTTCACCATTCCCGGAAAAAGGTTTGTGAGGTTATTAAATCGGGAGGTGTATGCAGTCGCCTCTGATCCTTTCATGGTAGGGTTCGAAGTTATAGAGAGTGAACGATTTCAATCCTACATATTTCTAACTCCCCGACGGAAATAATTAAAATATTTAAAATGGGCCGTAAGCACTCGCATTTGTAGCGTGAATTCGAATTGTTCAAAGTTTGTTAATTTTTGGGAAGCTTGATGTGAGAAACTACAAATCCACCAATCTTGAACTTTGAAATACTCTCGGGACTATTTCGTAAAAAATACAAACTATTGGGGTTGTTTGGTAATTTAATTAACCAAAGTAGGGCTGCTTTTTCGTTAAAATAATGGGACTGCAATGGTTATTTTTATTCCAAGTATCAAAATTGAGATTTATTATGTTAAAGATAACCAAAGGAGGGGCCTCATCTGAATAAATGGGTTCCGTACCGGTTATTTCATCAAAGTTGAATAAAACTAGGGCTTTTTTATGAAAAGGAATCCCATGGAGGGACTGATTGTGTCTAAGTGGTCCAAACTTATCAAAATTAGGGCTTTTAAGTTCCGTTCCCTTTTTGTTTATCGGGATAATAGAAGAAGGAACGGCAGTATAAACGAAGGCAACGTGAGGTGTGAAGGCGAAAGACGATCGGACAACGAAGGAAAATGGGATACGGGAGCAGCGAAATCAGATGGCGAGAAGGAAGCTCGCAGGCGCGCGGCTGCTACTCCGGACGTCTTGGCCAATCACGAAGAGGGAGATGGCTCCGGTGCTTGGCCGAACTGAAGGAGGAGAAGAGACGAAAGTAGCGAGGTTCTCTCTTTCTCGTCAGGTGATTGCAGACTCATCGCATCCGAGTGGCATGCTCCGGTGGTCGTCTAGACCGAAGAACAGGAACGGTCCATGGTTGTCGCGAGCAGCACCAGTGACGAGGTGAGACCTTCGGGGTCTGGAGTTGTTGGGGATAGAAGAGGAAGAAGGCGAGGGCAAAGGAGGTCTCGGTGTTGTTTGGTGGGCAATCGGGATGTTTCCCCCCTCGTTTTGACAGTTCCGATCAACAGTAGGTAAGAAGTTTTATTTTGGGATTTTGTTTGTTTTAACATGAATCTGTGGAATGACCAAAATAGATATTTGGGTTTGCGTTTGACAGAAAATCGATAGGCTTAAGTGGATGCTTGGTTTTTGTTCTTGACAAGAAAGAAGAACGGACGATGGAGAGAGAGGGAATGTGGTGAATGGTGGTGGAGGTTGTAAACAGTGGTGGGAGGTGGTGTTGTGTGACGGGTCTGGCAGGGATGGGATGTCACAGGTCGTCTTCTTCGTCTTCTTATTTTGAATGAAAATAAGAATCCATTAAATTCTGTTGTAGAAAAGTATAGCGAAGTGTAAGAATCCATTTCCTCTTTGAGTGTTCGGTTGTAGAAAAGAAGGCTTAGAAGTAACATTAAATTCGGTTGTATAAAAGAAGGCTTTGAAGTAACATTAAATTCTGGCAATCATTTTAAGAGTAAGATCATAAGTTTTATATTAATATTTTGCATAACATATTTGTTTGAGTATGTCGTAATGTGTGTATATGGTTATATTTTTATAAATTTAGAAAATATTTTTCATAATTTCCTTTTTAAATTATATTATGTAATATGCTTTTATTTTTTATAATAATAGTAAATCTTTTTTTAATAATTTTCCAAGGGTTTGATTTTTCTGTCGTCCGTTATAGCAATGTACTCTCTTCCGATGTAAAATTGCCTTTATTGATTTACAAATATATTTTCCTGTTTATATTTTATATGACCATCATATTTGTACATAAATTCACAAATCATCAAATTTATTTGACTTTATATAGTAATATACTTAAATGTTAAAGTTTCCTCTTCGAATAATCCATTTCTTATAATTATTTATTCGTGTGTTGCATAAATAATAATACAGTTTACTAGTTTTGTCAACAATTGTTTTTGTCAATTTACTAGGTTTACCACATACTAAATTTTCATTACATAATATTCATATAAGTATACTTACTATGGAGCTATTCCAATTTGTGCAGGAAATTTATTTATCAATCTAAAAAAAGTTAACATACAACATGTAGTCTTCCCAAAATATAAAATCTGAAATAATAGGAATAATGTCGAAAACCAATAGTTTAATGTTTCGTGATTAATAAATTTGAAAAAGTTGGATTTTTCAACTTTTAAAAATATTTTAACTAAAAATATTTCAAATGCTATTTGGCTATATCTTGAGTCCAAAAATGCTTTCGAAATTTCCTTTTGAGGTGTACAAGTCCCTTAACGGTTAGAAACGATTTTATTAGTTTTAACAAAATCAGTATTATACCGGTTTTGGGTTCTTAAAACGTTCTTGCCTTTATTGATTTACAAGTAAAGTTTTCTGTTTATATTTTATATGACCATCATATTAATTCGACTCTATATAGTAATATACTTAAAGGTTAAAGTTTCCTCAACTTCTATTAATCCATTTCTTATAATTATTTAATCGTGTCCTTCGTAACTAATAATAGAGTTTACTAGTTTTGTCAATAACTGTTTTTTTCAATTTACTAGGTTTACCACATACCAAATTTCCACTTAGGGATGAGATTTAGAACCGGAAAACCGGATCGGACCTGAAACCGGATCCGGTATACCTAGAAATTGCTTAAACGGTACGGGTATTGGGTTTCAAAAATTACTCTTATCTGGGTTCTGGGTATTTCGGGTATGGGTCTAACGGGTCCGATTAATCCGGGTTTTTTAACCGGATTTGTTTGAAAAAACAGAACCAGGTTTAGTGGGCATTAGATCCGATTTAGATGTGGAACCGATATAGGGTATAGGAGATATGGGAACCAGAATACGATTATTCTCTTTTCCCCATGCCCTCAATGTTCGTCGATAGGAGAAAAGATAAAAAAAAAAAAAGCCATCGATCACAGAGAGGAATATATTGTCGCCGCCTACACAATCCTCAGTTCCTCACTCGATTTGTGCCGATATTGAAGCCCAAGCCTCAGTTGATCAAATCAATCTCCTACAATCATTCCCAATTGAACTTCAAATCAATCTCCTACAATCAATTAAAGATCAATGGTGGACAATTAGGTAGATAACAATGAAGCTATAATGTTAACTGTTAAGATGTTTTCTAAGCCTCAAACGATTTGCTTTTTTTTTTCTTAAGATGTATGCTACATAAGTTAATGTAGACTCACCGTTGATTTCTAAATCATCATCAAGTTAAGATGATCTGGTTGGCGGACATAATAAAAGCTAAAAGTCAAATTACAACAATTTTCTTTAAACATGATAAATTAATAATAGAGATAACTATTATAGTATTTCTTACAATGGCAAGCATGAGAGCTGTTGAGGGTAAAACTGCAGTGCCTCCTGGAACATAAAGTCCAACAGAAGAAATGCTCCTTGCCACTCGTTTGCATCTCACACCCTAAAACTCACAAAAGAACCATAATAACTCAAAAGTTGAGGGACTAAATTCGTAAAATGTATACAACTTACTTTCATATTTTCAACAACTTTCTCCACTCGTTTTTGTGCAGCATGGAATGCATAGATGTTGTTTTAATACATAAATAAGATAATTCATCCAATATAAACCTATTTTGTTTTATGTTTATTTTCATAATAAAAACCGGTGGTAGGCACTCAAATATAAAGTGCAGATGGTCAAGGTGTCTATTCAAGTAGTTTAAATTTTTAGTTGTATGTGAGCTGTCTTCATAATTAAAATAATTTGGCTCCATGTTATCCCATCTTGGCCCCTTGACACGTAATGGAATCATAAATTTTCCATAGAATCTTTTATCAGTTTAACCAAGAAATCATTAAAATTTGATAGATTTAATAAAAGCTTTTCTGAATACCACTTCTATAGCTTTAGTCAAATGTGTTGCTAGACTATAGCTTTAATTACTTTTTGTGTTATTTTAATTTGTTATGTGTTAACTGTTGTTAGACAAACATATTAGCATAAGAACAATTTTGAAACAAACATATTAGCATATTAAGATACTTGTTATTAAGTTGTGTTATTGTATTTTAATTGTGTTTTTATTGTTATCTATTGTAGATTGATGATGACGAGGTGTTTGTTGACAACACTCAACAAGAAATCAATGAGGAACCAACACAAAAGAGAAAAAGAGTAGGGAAAACAAGGTCTGATTGTTGGAAATCATTTGAGAAGATTGTTATTGATGGAGTTCGGCATGGAAAGTGCAAATGGTGCGAGAGGGTTCTCAAAGCCGACGGGAATAATACCGGTACGTCTAGCTTAAATAAGCATGCAAAGAATTGTAAGCAAAACCCCGACAATTTGAAAAACCAACAAACATTACAATTTAAAAAAGAACCAACCGGGGAGGGTAGTTTAGCACTTGGAAACATGACGACAAACGAATTAAAAAGGTTATGTTGAATTTGTTTGTAGTGGGTGGTCTACCTTTTAAATTTGTAGAAAATGAGTCCTTTATTGAATACACAAATGCATTAAATGGGAAGGTGGTTGTGTTGGGTTTTAGCCATAAGAACTTTCCTATGTGCGCATGCAAAACCCTATTGCTTGGATCTAGGCTTTCTAATAAACATGCTTTTGAATCCAAGACTTCTAATGGCTAATTAGGATAAACAACAGCATTAAAACAGATCTAGAATCATACCTTTGAGTTCCTTGTTGATCTTCTTGTCTTGGAGCTTCTAGAGTCACAATTGTCACTCCTCTAATGGCTTACAAACACCAATAGCAAGCAAGATGATTTGGGAGAGAGGAGAGGGGATGGAATTCGACCAGAAGTTCCTTGCTTTAGGTTCTGAAAGGTTTTACACGAATTCCACATCCCAAGGGCCTATTTATACCTTTAGACTCCTTAAGGGTTTCACCCTAAACCCTAATTGGATAATCTTCTCTTAAGGCTATCCAAATCCATTCCATAGATATCCCTATGGACGATTTTGAGCTATCCTAAAGCTCTTAGAATCCGTCCAAAGTGTATCTTAATGGATTTACAGTCCAAAGTCTAACTATCAAACATTTGACAGTTTATACCCTCTTATTTAATTAATCTCTTTAAGTCACCAAATTAATACCAATTAATTTATGACTTATATTAATCAAATAGCTAAATATTATTCCTTATAATATTTACTCTCTCTTAATAAATCATCCTTCAAGTTGCTATGGTGAAGGCAACCCAAAAGGACCATGCACCACCGAATATAGTTATAGCCTTAGACACTATTCCAACAGTCTCCCACTTGGATAAGTCTAGTAACTATACAAGTATAATACGGTTTGCAATCGTAGCTCTCAAAGACGCTGTCAACTCTGATCTAATCAATCTTGTCCTTTAGATAAGGGATCGTACAGTCCTCTGTTAGATATCATGCTGACAATCCTATGGAATGGTTAGTCTAGCATTTAGATTTCTCGATCTTCGATTTATTTGACATAGAACTTAATCGAACACATCAATTCAGTTCTGACCGGGCCCGGCACATAAGTCAAATCAAATCATCGAGTGGCCAAGATATCTCTTCTACCCTCTTAGGATAAAATTTACAGATAAACTTCGACTTATATGCATTTACTTATTCATTAACCAACTATACACAACAATGCGTTTTATAACATCAAGTTACTGATGCGTTTTCGCATTATCAATGCACAATCAATTAACAAATAATAAACCATATATCTAGGTTTTAAGACCATATGATATTATCGTCTTGCGATCACCTTTTATATCGTATTCC